CCACAGAGCCTCCGTGACAACTGTAGTTTTAGTGTAAAAGCAGCCATAGGAAATTTGTAAGGGAAATGATTGTGGTTGGTTGTGCCCTAATAAATATTTATGGTCACTGAAATTTGAATTTCATATAATTTTTATGTTCATGAAATATTCTTTTGCTTTCTTCCATAGTTTATAAATGTCAAGCTAGTCTGGGGCCTGTGGCTTCATGTACAAAGCCAAAACTAGAGCAAGGTTTCTAGATTTTGGAACCAGACCCATTTCTCGATTCTTGCTTTTCTACTCATTAGCTGTACTGCTGAAAGTGGGTGACCACTGACCAGAGGTGGGTCCTCATCTAGGGACATGTGTTAGGTTGAGCTTATGCCCATCATAGCACATCAGGCACAGTGGCCTGCAGAGTAGGCACCAACCAAGCAGTGTTGGGGCAACTTTTAGTGCTGCATACGTGGACAGGTCACACACAGCCAGAGCATGGTGGGTGAGAATGGCTGTCTCCCCCTCCCCAGACAGGTCCCTTTATCATTTGGGCCCTTCTACATGAGCAGTTACTCACACCCGTCATCTCTCTTTCGACCAAAGGAGATGCTGCTTCTCACGTGGCCCTTAGGTTCCAGGCTGGTGAGTCTGAGCCTGGACACCAGGATGACCCTAGGCTGAAGCCCAGCTCAGAGGCCTCTGAACTCCAGCACAGCCCACGACAGCCCTTTGCCCCTGCCCATCCTGTGTTTCATGCTATTTTATTACACTATACTATGGAGGAGAAGCCTGCCTCCACCCTGGCTTCCCCATGGGTCACAACACTCTGGAATCAGTCCTGGGTTTTTAGAGTTGAGCTCTGCTATCGACCATCTAGATGGCTGGGCAAGTTGTTTAGTCTCTCTGGGTCTCAGTTCCCTCATATATATGGAGGTGATTTCAAAGCATTATTGTGGGGATTGAGGACATGGTCATAAAGCAGTTTGAACAAGCCTCACCTAGAGGAAATACCTACTATAAGTGTGCACTATAGATAAAATGTAGGATATCTATATTTAATTTGAATTTCAGATAAGCATTTTTTTAAGTATTAGTAGGACCAAGTACTGTATGGGATATACTAAAAATGTTATTCTGAAACTTAAATTTAAATGTCTCCTCTTCCCTGAGGCTGGCAACTTTACATGGAGGGAGGCTTCACATCTCTAGGCTTCCCCAGCTCCACAAGAGCCTCTGCATCCCTTTAGTCCACCTCGAATGTGGGATATCAACCTTCTTTCTCATGTGCAGGGCCTGCGGGGCACAGTCAGGCTAGAAAGCTGGTTTCCTGCACTGCTTTGAGTACAATCCCAGATACTTGCCTTGGGACTTGGATCAAGCTCTCCTTTGCCCTTTCCATACTCCTGATTTTACTCTTTTCAGTGGGACTGGTAATCCTCACTCACTCGCTATTCCAAAGGAGTAAAGATAAATGACTTATAAAAGAATGGGCACAGTATTAAGCACTTGACATTTTAATCAACTCCACCAACAGTCCCTTAGGTACAAACTGAAATTATGCCCATTTTACAGATGAGGAAACAAACTTGGAGGAGAGGTGTCATTCCCTCTTCCTCATGGAAGCTGTTATCTGTCAGGGCCTCCATTCCCCTTCCCTTCTCAGTCCCTCCTCCTTTCCATTCTTCTATCGACCTCATGGAGTGTCTTCCTAGTAGGAGACACAACTTACCCTTTCCCTATCTCCCACCTAACCCTACAGATACTCTTCAAGTATAGGGGCCACTAGAAGCATAAACTGTGTGTCCCAGGGCTCTACCTTGAGCTCCTCAACTACACAGGCTGGGTTTGGAGAAGCTAAGAATATAGCCAGTCTGGAACCAAGATCTGTCACTGGGCTCACTTGAGAAGTCTTTCTGCAATTTCCAAGTCAGACAAATGAACAGTAATTCTTGCAAGAAACCATTTTAAGGAATTCTGTGCAAATTAATCAACCATAAAACCTTCCATAAGGCCAGAGGATGTGACACTTTTTCAAGCATTCCAATTTTCCCAGTGCCAATTTTTCTGAGTGCAATCCCTTCCCGCAGGTTCACAAAAGCCAGGACTGGGTGCTGCCACCTCAGGCTGTGGGATCACGGGGTCTAGCCCTGGCTGTTTTCTGTGGTTGATGAGACAGCCTTGGCAGTTTGTTGGCTTTCATTAGTCAGACTAGCTGCAGCCTCCCTCTACTCTGCTTCCTCACTGCTGTGAGGACAAATGAAGTCATTTATGATCAGCACACATGACACTAGCCCAGGGTTGTGGGCTAACTGTATATTCTGCCCTTGTTTGAGGATGCAGGATTTACTGGGTCAGGGTCTCAGATAAAAGTGAAACCAAGACTTTACTATGTATTCTGTGTAGGTTCAGGAGAAGCACTAAGTCTTGAGTAGAGATTTATAAAGCCTATATTATTTTCAACAAAACCCAAAACCAAACCAAACAAAAAACAGTAGCAGAGGACCCCCCTCCCCCGGCTTTAACAGTATTCTTCATACCTGGTAGGGGCTCAACGAGGTGAGGCTGTGTCTGCTCGGCCTTAAATTGAGGGTTTGGTGCTTTCCTGTTGGGCTCAGTGATAACTTCATACCCTGTGAGTCACGATTCTCAAAGGACCACAGAATTCTTAGAAAGCCTTGCAAATTTCAGCTATTGAGGTTTTCCTGTGTATCACCGACCTGCTCCAACCCAGAAAGTCTAGTTCCCTTAGAAGTCCCAGGTGAATGTTTTGAGGCAGGACACCTGGTAAGGAGTTAAAGTGCTTGCGAGGCATCAGCTGACAGTGTTGGAGCCCAGGTTGGGAGCAGGATGCTGGGCTGCCAACTCCCTTCCTACTTTAATCTGGTACTCTGGGAGGGCAAGACAGGTCAGGCCAATCCTTACGGCTGAATATTCAGCAAGCTTCAACAGGGTGCCCAGCACGAATGAGGCACGCAGGAAAGAGTAGATTCCTTAAGTACATATGATGCATTTGTAAAATGCCCAGGCTGTAAGAGACATGTGAGTGCCACTGAATTCCTCCAATACAAATTTGACTTTTAAACTTTTTTTTTTTTTAAATTCAGGATCAAGACCACAGACAATTTATTATGTGAGACATGGGGTGAAGAATGATCAAGAAAAGTTTATGGCTGTGAGTAACATGGGATTAGATGAAAAGGCTCAAGTTTGCTGAAGAGAGTTTAAATTTGGCTTTTGCTCTTAGAAATATCAAAATAATCATAAGAAGCACTTATGCCTTACAGAGCAAGTAATCCACAGAGTGTCAGTTTCATTTTGCAAAAACAGGGTCACAATAGCAGTCAAACAGAAGCCTGAACACCCGAGTTAACATACAGGTTCAGTAAGATATAACAGGGGGTTGCGCATGCTGGTGGGTTTTTTACGTCAGATCCACATTCAACCCTGTGACCTACTGGAGGTTTACGTGGAACCTGGGGAAAGCAGCTTTTCCATACAAAACAACAACAACACAAGGACAACAAAGAAAACCAGACTGTGCTGGATGTCTATAATACTCATCTGCAGTAAGGCTTTCAAGATACAGGAATTTTTATAGCATTTGTATTTTAAGGATTTAGGGCAAATACATTTTTTTCTACTTGATAAAAAGAAAATTAGTACTTAAAAGGTTCAAAAATATATCGATTGAGTGATTTTTTTTCTTTTACATAAATAAATTATATTGATTTTTAGGATTTAACAGCTGAAAAAACCCTTTCTGCTTCCACTGGAGGCAAAATGAACAAAATGTTAGTTAAATAGAGAGAGCAGCATTTCTAAGAAATCTGTTGTCAGCATTATAGACCATCTACACTACAAGAATGTCATTAAATAGGATTTATTCAATTATCAGGTTCTTTCTTCTCATAGGATCAGTTATAGCATTTCTAGTTTATATCTCTGATTCATAAAACTGGGACTCTGCTTTTTGAAAATACATCCGAATGAATTTTTTTGGTCACAACTTAACAGACTTCTTTGAGATGCTCATTTTAACATTTACATAATTTATAATTCCAAATGTATAAAAGACAACGACAAAAGCATCATAAATAAATAATGCAAACTGAAAGTTATGTCAAACTTTTGGACCTTCTGATAAATCAGCAAAACTGTAACAGAAACAGTAAAAAAATACAGTAAATTGTGACAACACAAAGTGAAACCGGTACTAGTAACACTTCCACTGGCCCTGCAGGCCCTGTGCCTCCAGCATGCTGATCTGTGATCTCCTCTCACACTTCCCACCCACTGTGAACTGTCCAGGAAGGAGAAGAGCACCGGGAGGGATGAGGTGAAGGCAAATGAAAGTGCTGCTCGGGCAGGGCCTCCCCTGCTCAGTCCCTAAACACGGGCAAGCAGAGGAACGACAGAGAACGTTGCTGCCTTGCAGCAGTTTTAGCTAAGTGATAATTTGGAATTTGGGCCCAACTGTAAGATACAAAGAGTAAAGCAGTGATGGAGAGAGGGGAAAAAGCTTTTCACGGTTGTAGTGTGAAAGATGGTTCGTGCATTTTGACAACCTCAGATAACCCTGAAGAGAGAACCTAGCAAGTGTGAAGCAACTATCTTCTCCCAGGCTCTGAAAGACTTATTCCTGATGAAGGAAAGCACAAATACAAAAGTCCGTTAAGACTCTTCGAACACAGTGAGACAAATTAGTGACCAGAGAAGGTTTTGGGAGAAGGTGAGAGCAGAGCCCTAGTGGTGCGCTGGTGAAGCAACATGCAACTCTGCAAGTGTGAGCCTTTGCCCCACCCTGGCTGCTGGTGCTAACTCAAAAGTGTGTGAAGCTTTCTCCAATTTAGAGTCACCTTGTAACTGAGGAGAGGGGTGCTACATGTGTATAAAATAATGCCTGGTCAGCTAATATTCCTTCTTGCTGCAGGTACCACAAAGGGGGAAATGATATTACTACCAGTAAAGTTTGTTTTTTATAAAGAAATTAAGGGCCAGGGATTTAGCTCAGTGGCACTGTGCCTGCCTTGCAAGTGCAAGGTCCTGAGTTTAATCCTTGGTACAAAAAAAAAAAAAAAAAATCAATATATGCATTTTCAACCATTAGTTATATACTTCGGACTATACTACTCACTCAGAAATCATGATAAAACAGGGCTATATTTTAACTCAAAAATACACACCAGCGCTTCCTTTTTCTGTGCTTTTTGGTTTTCTTGCTACACTTTTCCTATTCAACCTAGCTCACAAGAAAAAGAGCTCCTCTTTGTATCTGTTCTCCAACCCTTCAATGGTAAATCCTGGACAGTTTTCTTTTGCCATTTTCCCCAGATAAGTGGGAAACTTGAAAGAGAAGGGGGTAGGGTGTGTCACCAAGTACTGTATTAACTACAACTGCTGGAATGAACGACTGAATAACTGAATTAAGAATTCTGTGCCTCCTAGACTAGGTAGACGACACTTATCTAACAAAGTGGCAAGACCCTGCAACTATTAACATGTTACCATAATTCTCAAACAGGAAATTAGGTAGGTCATATTACTTATGGAAACATAGGTTCTTATGAAGGTGAAGTGAGGGAAGTAACAAACCTTTATGGGATAAGAAACTTACAAGTCACAATAATTTCTTAAACGAAAAAGTTCTAATTGGTGTCATTACTGGAGTCTTTGAGTCCCCCTTCTCCAACCTGTGCCACATGTTCTTTCTCTGGGGGTAAAGGGGTACTAGATTCGGAGCAGTTCTGATCGCTGCCTGGCTCCCTTTCGCAGCCAGGAGCAGGCTCTGCGTTGGGGTTTGGGTTGTCCCCCTTCGTTTTCTTCTTCTTCCTCTTCTGGCTCTCCAGGCCAACTATCTCAGAGTGTCTGGCCTGCTGCATGGCTGGCAGAGCCATGCCCATACCAGGGGAGAGAAACATGGATGGGTAAATGAGTCCAGGAGACACTCCTGGGATGAGAAACGGGTTAAAAGCCACAGGGCTATTAGTAGTTATTGCGGGTTCAGACTGATCAGAAAATGGACTAGGACCAGGCTTGTCTTCAGCTAATGTGTCTGGTTTTACAACATGGCTGCTGGGTTTGTCCTGTGTAGTCTTTTCAGTGGCTGTCGTACCACTTTTTATTGTGCTTGAGAGAGAAGCTGGAGCAGTGGACGTGCAGGTGGTTGCCATGGGAGTATTGAGGAGTCCCCCAACACCAAACATTTGGGGTACTGTAGCCATGCCTGGCAGCATCATGGGCAGCATGCTCAGGGTGCTTTTCACCTCTTCGCCGGTAGGCATGGCTGCAAAGCCAGCTGGGAAGCCCACCAGCCCGGTGAGAGGGATGCCTGGCATATTTCTCACATTCTGCAATCCCACCAGGTCCATTCCTGCAATCAACCCGTTCATGAATAACGGCCCCATTCCAGAGGGAGAGTCTGCCACAATGGCTGGAGCTTTCAGGAGTTCACTCCGAGGCCGCCTCCCCCTCCTGCGGGGGCCTGCATCCCGAAGTACAGGCTCAGCCAGGGTGTGATTGAACTTGTTTTCTGGGAGAAACCCCTGAAAAGGACAAAGAAACATAAGATGCTGAAGGTTACTGGATTGCAGGGGGTCAGCCTGGGGTGATGACTGGGGGTCTGCACTGTCCCCAGCTCCATGAAGGGCTCACGCAGGTCAAGATCATTTGGTGGCTTGGGAACAACCAGGGTGCCTGTCACCGCCAAGCAGTGCTTCCAACACTCTCACTGGCAAGAGCAGGGTCCACTGTGTGAGAAGCTAGCAGAGAACCAGGAGTTGGAGACCAGCAATGAAGATGCGCTGGGTCTTGCTGAAATTCAAGGCTGTAACCCCTTCACCAGGAGGCAACATTCGTGTTCATCATGACATAGTAAAGTTTGTACCGAAGCAACAAAGCACAGAACGTAGGACAGGGTTTTGGAGCCAGATGGATTCTAGTTTTTAAATCCTGGCTCTGCAGCACTCTTGCTGTGGGGCTCAGGAGAGTCGGTTAACACGTCAGTTTTGGAGAAAAATAACACCTATTTTAAAGTCACTGAAACTGGAGTATCTAACACATCACCTGACTCATAGGAAGCAATGCTTACTTGGGACAACCCCCCATGTATTTTTCTTCTCTTTGGAATTTACTCTCCGATTTTCTTCATTAGTAAAAAGCTTCACAGTTAGCACTTCTGTTCACAGAGCTCAGTGTTTCTAGCATTACACATTTGGACCCTTCCTCATCATACATCAGAATTATGCCACACAGAATCAGAGTACAGTGCCTTAACGGTGGCAGTGAGACGGCAGCAGCATGGTGCCAAGGAAGGCCCAGGCTGTGGCCCTGCAACCCCCTTCCTCTGAGAAGGTAGTTCAGGATCTTAGGGGCAGGAAGGATGTAGCTGGAAATGGCCACTTGGAAAACAGGGTCTGGAGGCAGACAGGTAATTAAAGTAGCATTGCAATTATGATGGATTAATTTCTGAATCTGTTTCACAGATGATGTAAACAACCTCCATTTAAAGAGAAAAATGTTTTCCCTGCTGAAAGGGAGCCATTTCTTTCAGGACTTATGGCCCACAATCCGTGCTCCTCCCTGAATAACTATGCATGCCCCTATTTCTCTATTGCCCTCTACCTCTCACTGCTCTTAATTTATCAAGTAAAAGATGTCCACAGAAATACAAAAAAGTGACTTAAAACTGGGTGCAGTGACATGTGCTTAAAGAGGCTGGGACAGGAGGACCACAAGTTTAAACCCAGCCCGGGCAAGTCAGTGAGACTCTGTCTCAAAATAAAAAATGAAAAGGGCCAGGTATACAGCTAAGTCTGAAGGCCTTGGGTTCAATTACTAGTAGCTCTGCTCTTCCTACACAGAAGGTGACTTCTTATGTTGTCCAGGGGACAGTCTTCTTGTATGGAACAGGAAGATAAAAAGCCCTTCCTTCTTGGTGCCTGGGAGGTCAGCCGTGCTTTCCCAGTCACACTGAAGTACAGTGGCCCTTATTTACCCTGCTGTCCCCTCCCTACAGTCCAGTTATAAAGCTGATGTTTCTTTACCACCTTTCCTTGATTTGAGCCATGGTGAAGGTAGGATGTTCAGAGTGGTATTGAGTCTGAAGAGCTTGGATTCACACAGAAAACAGTGTCCGCTCCACGTATCTCTATGAGGTACTCCTGGTGCCTTGTCAGGACTCTCCTTTGTGTAAATGCCTTCCCTTTCTGCCAGTCTGGAGTGAGTGAGGAATAGGAATCTGGCAAGACACAGCTGAGACTCTACTAGTTCATAACCTCCTTTCTGTTTCTGAGAATAAGAAGCAGGGACCTGGCTGCCCTCCTCAATGGAGCAGACATTTGGGGCAACAACAGGGGTGTGGATCTCACCAAGAGATACCAGAAGGACCCCCGCTGCCAAAAAAAAAAAAAAAAAAAAAAAAAAAAAAC